GTGCAGCATTCGTAAGACAGCATTTAGTGTGTTACTAAGCTGTTTGTGCACTCCTTGATCTTGGTAAACTAGGACATACTGTTCCATAACCAAATCCAGGAGGGAAAATGCACTAGTGTCTGATCTGAAGGATGCAAACACATTTAGTCAAACAAGAAACTGGCTCATTTGAGAGTTTTATAGCAAACAAGGACAGAAAGTCGTTTGCATAATTTTTTCATGCTCCTTTTATAGTGTTTATCTTTTATAAGGCTCCTTGGAACAGTTGCTAGCCACCTGTCAATAATGTGGCCTTTTATAGACTCAACCTCTTATTGTTCTTATGTCCTTGACATATAAAAAACAATCTTAGAAGAAGCCAGTGTTGAATATGGTGGGCAAAATACTAATTTTAAATTTAAAAAGCCGCCTTTTGTAGACTGAAATAAAGAGAGAGTTTTGAATGACATGTGAAGAATAGGCATGTTATAAAATCCTCTTTAGCAGGAATAAAAATAAATTCATTATTTTATCAACATTTTTGGAAAGTTGGTTAAGAATTATCCTTAAAGCACTAGTCTATGGAAATCTCAGCCAAGTAGCATTCATTTAAAGTAGTTGTAACAATTTTGCATCAATTCCAAATGAAAATATTTGTATTGTGAGTCTATCAATTACATAAATATTTTGGGTGTGTAAACAGTTGTTTTAACTTCTTTTTAGTGGAACAAGACATCCAGTATTTCTGTCTCTATTTACATAAAATCTGTCAAGCTAATGTTCTACATGTATTTATTGACCTACATCCTGGAAGTGTTTTGCATGATACTGAATGAACACAGTTCCACAAATCTGTATGCAAGAGTACGTTTCCATTCACAAAGGGATATTATCTAAGGCCTTAAGTAGAAAGCTGCCTATCCTTTGTTTTGCACAATTAGATTCCAAGTTCCCTTTGTGTAATTATGAACAAGAACAATAAAGAAGCAAGTTTCAACCCAATGGAAGTTCTGTTTTTGTTAAAAAGCAGACACACATACATACACACACACACACACGCACCACGTTTCCAATGCCACCACTTCCCCCTCTTAGTGATATGAGACATGGGGCGACAATTTAACATCTATGAGGAGATGTATGAGTTAAAAATCACATTTTTATATTGTACTTGGGAGAGGACTTCTTGTTTTCCTTGATAGAGTTTGCACATTGTGCTTTCAAATTACATTCTAAAACAATTGTACGGGTTGAAACATGGTAGCTAATTGGGCTAACGATTCTTAGCTGTCAAGAGCAGTCTTAAATGTGGTCCCCTTTCTGTTCAGTTTGCGATTATTTTGAGACAGCTTGGAGGACAGAAGTAGACAGCCCTTCCTCGGGTGTACAGTGGTGAAGATCTGATTTTTCAAGAGGTCTGTTAATTGGACACACATGCAGTACCCAAGGTGCAATGAAAAGATAAGACAGCAGTCAAAGCCTGCAAAGTGAATGAGTTTTCTGTAGGTTCACTTGTAATTATATTGCTACTTCTGCTTTCACTGGTGCCTTCATGCATTTTATTTTCCTTTAGCCTAGTGGGTATTTTTATAGATCTCCATGGAATTTTCTCAGGATGTCCTATCTTCTGATCCTCACTGCAAACGTACTTTGAAAAAAATAAACCCCACAGTCTTATCTATGAATAGCTGCTTATAGGAATTTATGATAATATTTTTAGAAAAGAAATTGAATTGTATGTGTATTTAGAATGCATACTTTTCCTAGTTTATATAAGTAAATTTTAGAAATGCTTACTCATTATCAAAGTATATGAAATAGTGTAGAGGTTTTCTTGAACTCAGTTCTTTCTATCTGTTGGCATTGACATCAACCACGTAATGTCTTGGATATTAAGATCTATAAACTAAATTCTCTCTTTTCTGAACAGCATAAACTGAGGAAATTCATTTGAAAGCCAGCAATGGAAATGAAAAGACATGATCAAGCCAAATGTTGCAGAAGACAGGCAACGTTCTGTCCTTAAGGGGCCATGGAGTCAGTGTAATGTGATGAACAGATATTTGGCGAACAATTACTCAGTAAACTAATTGAAATTGTGATAAGCATCTGACAAACATGCGGGGTGTTCTCTGAGTGTATAGGAAGGGAACTCTCCCTAATTGGATGTCGGTAAACCACGAGTCATTTTCAAAGTAACCATCGTTCACTTTTATTTTTGAAAAACTTAGAAGTAAACCAGGAATTTTGCTAAAATTTAGTTTATAAGAGTTTAATATCTTCCCCGGTCTTTATCTTATCTGGGGTAATTTTCAAACTTCTTAGTTAGCTAGTCTTATATAGTTGTGCTTCATAGTTTTGGGGGTTTGTTTTTGGTATGTGTGTTTTCCTTACTCAGCAACAACAGGCAGACTTGAAGTCAAATCTCATTTTGTGTACTCAGATTTCTTTAATAAAATATTAATTTTCATCAATTAGTTAAATATACCCTTTAATAATAGTGCAATCTACCTAAAAAGTACAATTAAATATTTTTATGTGCCAAATTTATAACTTTGCTATAAAACATTTTATTTTTACTTTGAGGATAAAAGACTAACTTTTTAAATAGTCCTGATCTGATTCATCAGTCTAATTTCCTAATTAACATCAAAGATAATATATAATACCAAAGATATTATATTATGATATATAATTGTATTATATATAACATAATATTATATAGTATCAAAGATCTATTATAATACATATGTAAAATATATAACATATTATATGACATATTATAAAATATATATTACATATAATATATAATATCAAAGATAAATAATATCAAAGGTTGGAAAGTAATAAAATACCAAGAAGTTCTCCTGAATTACATCTGGGGTTTATACTCTGGTTTAATGCAAGACTCTTGTACTTTGAAATTTAGACTCAACGGCATATAGCTTACTCCTAACTTAATGGTCCAGTCTAAACATATCTTTATATGCTGTGTTTAGGGTGGAAAATAAGGATTATTGTTTTGTTCAAGCACAGTGGGGGAAAGGAATAAATACCAAAGATGTATGAAATTAATTCTAAAATGTTATACATATTGCTAAGTTTCCTTATTGAGAATTGTCCTAGGTTCTGTGATTCCCAAACTGAATATTTAAGGTAATCTCTAAGAAAGCATCAGCAGATTTATGAATGTATATTTTCCTTTGACAAGTGGAAAATGACTAAAATATCAGGTATTGCATGTTGACAGATGTAACGAACTCACTGAGTTTCTTAGTTCATAAAGTTTTGACATCAGCACTCTGGGAAGACTGTTTCCCTAAATTTATTTTAAGTCCCTTGTAACTCTTTATATATGAACTTCATGAAGTAATGACATGGCTATGGTTAAGATTCAATTCTTATTTTCATTCAATTAAGGATTAATTAGCACAATATTTTCAGTCAATCTCTTTTCTATTTGCAACTCCATTATTTTTGTAATGAGGTTCTCATCATCAAAATGTAAACATCTTCCTAGTTAAACAAAATTAAACGTTTAAATTAAGTATAAGCACATTCTTCAAATGTCATTCTTTGTAGATTAATCGTTTTGTATAGGAGTATCTAAATCTCAAGTTCCAAAATCTCGGATAAATCATAAAACTAAAAGTCAGAACAGAAATCTGAAATCCAGGATGGTTTTGTTCTTCATTCAAGATGTGAACCTGGCACATCACTTCCCCTTCTTGTCACATGTTTTTCTCATCCATAGAGTGAATCTGCTGGCCTAGGTTGGTGGTTTTCACTTTTCAGCAGCAGAAGCCTCTTGTCAGACAAAATCTAATGCATAATCTCAACATGCATAAAAATAAATAATAATAATGGAGTGTCTCTTATAGAAGCAGCAATGAAGGAGGAGGGCAGTGGGGTGGGGTTGGGGGACCCTGGAGTCCAGCTCTATATGCTGGCCCTCACCTTCCCACACAACCTGTTGAAGATGGCTCTAGGCTACGTCAAATAATTCCTCAAATTTCGTGGACCACAGTTTGAAAATCATCTAATTGTATGATCACTGTTTCTTTAAAATTCCAAAATAATATAATTCTCAATTTCATAAATTCAGATTTGTCTGTTAAAGCACTGAAAATACTATTATCTACCTTAAAAAAAGAAATAATGTATGCAAATATAAGTGGATTTCAATCTATGCTAAGAAGGATTCTAAGGTAAAAACCCCCATTCCATATTCAAGCCACTGACTTAAGTATCCCATAAAACAGCTCTATAATACCAAATAGTTCATATTTAGAAAATGAATAAGTAAAAGTTCAAATAGCCCTTCAACATTTAGAAAATTGCAGAAGTCTTTTAATTAAATTTTAATTCTCTTACCCCTCTTTGTACTTCACTGGGGAGATGAGGAAAATAAATTTTTTGCTAAATTTAAGACAGAATGTGCTTAAATGAAGATTTTTCACTTCCAAGCTTTTGTTGCCAGAAGGCAGACACTTCTGTCAGCACACACATATTCAACTATCAGACTCTTCCAGTCACAGTGTCGACAACAATATAAAATGAGGTAGACAGGAGCACGTTCTACAAAAGAGTTAATTGCTCAGGAAAAGAAAATCCTACAGGGTCCACATGAGTCCATTTTCTTTGCCAGTTTCTGAGTGGATTTGATGGTTATGAGGCAGGAGTAATGGGTTTTCACTGTCACTAATTTCTGATGTCCTTTATGAGCAAGGGTTCTCTAATTACTTCAAGTTAAGGAAATGAGTAAAAGCCAACTTTTAGTAATCCCAAAGGGACCCACAGTGAACTTGTCCCAGCAGTTACCTTATTTAGACTCTGTGACACAGTTCCCCTTTTGCAGAAACACTGAGTGCAGATCATTACTTTCCAACAATCGTGTACAGAGACCTACTTTATGACACTTTAGGCAAGTTAATGTACTAGATCTTGAAATGTCTTTCTGGAAAGTGAAATAACTTGTAGTTTTCTTCTGGTAGCACTGTTAACTCTTGTGTTATTTGTAGGTCCGTGGGGCCGATGCATGGGAGATGAATGTGGTCCAGGAGGCATTCAAACCCGGGCCGTGTGGTGTGCTCATGTGGAAGGATGGACGACATTACATACAAATTGTAAGCAGGCTGAGAGACCCAATAACCAGCAAAATTGTTTCAAAGTTTGTGACTGGCACAAGGAGTTGTACGACTGGAGGCTGGGACCGTGGAATCAGTGTCTGCCCGTGATTTCAAAAAGCCTGGAGAAACCCCTTGAGTGCATTAAGGGAGAAGAAGGCATTCAGGTGAGAGAGATAATATGCATCCAGAAAGAGAAAGATATTCCTGCAGAGGATATCATTTGTGAGTACTTTGAGCCCAAGCCTCTCCTGGAGCAGGCCTGCCTCATCCCCTGCCAGCAAGATTGCATTGTGTCTGAGTTTTCTGCCTGGTCAGAATGCTCCAAGACTTGCGGCAGTGGCCTCCAGCACCGGACACGTCATGTGGTGGCGCCCCCCCAGTTTGGAGGCTCTGGCTGTCCAAACCTGACGGAGTTTCAGGTGTGCCGGTCCAATCCGTGTGAAGCTGAAGAGAGCATGTACAGCTTGCACGTGGGTCCCTGGAGCACGTGCTCAATGCCCCACTCAAGACAAGTCAGACAAGCAAGGAGACGTGGGAAGAATAAAGAACGGGAAAAGGACCGAGGAAAAGGAGTGAAGGATCCAGAGGCCCGTGAACTTATTAAGAAAAAGAGAAATAGAAACAGACAAAATCGACAAGAGAACAAATACTGGGACATACAGATTGGATATCAGACCAGAGAGGTGATGTGTGCTAACAAGACGGGCAAAGCTGCTGATTTGAGGTAACATTTTATTACCCTTAGCCACGCGTGTCTATCTGTCAAGACTGTGGGCTAGAGAGTACTTAAGACATGCCGTGCTAAGTCCTGGAATTCATAGGTACACAACCTAGTACGAGCTACCCCCAAGTGTAACGTTTTTCACTTTAAGGCAGTTAAGCTTTAGTAGGTTTCCGGGCATTATTTCTGTTTCACTCATGTTTAGGCGCTATACTACTAGAGTTAATTTAAACTTTCCTATCAAAATCTAAAGCATGAGTGATTCTCCATGAGGTGATACTACTTCTTTAGGTCAATAGTGCTGTTTCTGCCTATAATAGAAAAAAGCTTACTTAGAGCCTGGAGTTTTGAGATTTTGAATTCAGATACTTATTTTAGTGAGAATAAGGTGCACTTGTAATCTCTCCAAGTCTGTAGCATTTTCAGAATTACCCTATAAACAAAATCTAAACAGCTACCCAGGGAGCTATACCTAAGAATAATTCTCTTTAACATTTTATAAAATGGAATAACTCTCCCCAGAGAAGCACAGGGGAAGCAGCAGAAAATAAGGTGAGTAGAAGATATTTAATCATGAGTAGCCTAGTTTAGAAAACATAATTAATTGGCTTCATTTTCTGTACAGAAATTATTTGTCAAATGATCTCTGGGTAAATAATGACTGTTATGAAAGACTTTCTCGTGTGTGATTTATTTGTTGTGAAAATATTCATTGAGGATTATTCATTGAGGATTATCTAAAGAATATGATGTTCTCTGGATAGTCTAAATTTTGCTCTCAGATAAGCCAGACCATCTGGGAGTGGCTTATCTGGATCATTTGCATAATTGCTTTTTCTGAAATATTTATGCAGTTATGATTTGGACTGAACTAAGAGAAATTATAGTAACATCACTCAGAATTTTATATCATATTTATGGTAGAAATGACATTGAAAGTGTCATCTACTTCCTCTCACAGTCTGTTCTCTTGATTAAAAACGCATGAGATGAATTTCATTGACGTCTCAACCCATGTGCTTCTGGTGAGCAGCTGGATTGCTTTTCTCACCGCCCCTGGAAATCTTGTAACAGATCACGTTTTCCTGTTTACTTTGGCTGTTGGGCACGTAAATAGGACTGCGTGGCATGCACGTTGTTTACTCAGATACCCTACTGGCTTCATCTTTTTCTCAGCTCATTATTTTCCTTCGCTCATTTCTGTCTAGTGATTTTGCTGTCTATGGACTTTGAAAGCTGGTTTAAAGCCTTCTTGGAGCAGATATGGTTTAATAAATGAGTGAACAAGCAGTTGATTCATCTAAGATAATAATTTCTTTCAGCATAACATTGTTCTGGTCACTATTTTTAGGATATTCACTACTCCCCTCCCTCTTTGTTGTTACACAGTTGTATTTTCTCTCAGCTATACAGTAATTTGCTCTTTCTCCATTCTGGAGTCATCAGCCCAACTCTGTTCCTGGCCTTGCTAAAGACTGCCTGCTCTCCTGCCTTCATTCTCCAGGTTCCCCACAACTCCTTAAATGTGTGTATATGTGTGTGTTCACCTCTGATTGTGTCATGTGTGTTTTCAGTTCAGTTAGTTTTATTCTTTTCTGACTCTCCTTATTCTGGTAATTTCCTGATCTCTTCTCCTGAAGTATTAGTTATATTAGTTACTTAGTTCCCACGAAGTAATTGAGTGAGCCTCCAAGGCAACTTAAGTTGTCTTCTGCTGTCACTGGGCTTACATGCTGTAGACATTTAATTTACTGTTGACTATTCAATTAAAAGTATAATTGGATAGTACCTGTCACTTCATAGAGCCTCATATTCCTATCTAGCTTTTGAAATAAGCAAATATTTTAAAAATCTGTACATCATTCATTGATACTTACATTCTAATAGAAATACCATATCTATTCCAGTAAAATGATAGTTGCGTGTATGTTATAACTTATTAGAGCATAGATTAAACTTTATGTTAAACAAATTGGTTATTACTGTTTCTCTTAAGAATTATATATGAGAATATATATGAATAAATATATTTAAGAAAGTTAAAGTTTTAGTGAAGAAGAGATAAAAATCAAGTACTTTGACATACATTTTACTCAAACATTACACCATTATCAGTGAAGCTAATAAAATGAAGAGTACATGGGTAACACCAACAAAGCACAGGACCATAAATCATGGACTTGATGATTAAATTTAAAGTGTTTCATCTTATATCAAATTCAGAAACAATTTTATCATGTAAGAGGATTAAAAAATCATTTAATAAGGCTAAAAAATCCTACTACAATACCTAAATGAATTTAGCTAAATAAACCTAAGAATCTTGGGGAAGCAGTTTATCGGCAAGTAAAAATACTTTTATCAGAATTACTGCTAGAACTTCCAAGTTAAAGATGACAGATCTACTCTGCGCTTTGCTTTCAAACAGACCGAAATCAATAAGAATGAAAAACACAAATGAAAGTCCATTCTTTTATGACAATAGGAAACAGTCACAGTCCCAAACCACAACTGATAGAGAAGATTTGACCAATGTGGTGAAATTAGATCTAACTGAGGGAGGAAACTTAGAAGGGCACTATGTCTTTGCGGCTTTAATGAACACTCAAAGTTGCAGTAGCCTGAACTTTCTGAGGAGCCAAGTCAATGAAACCTCCTTGGAATGGCATGGTCTGCATTAGTGAAAGGGCTGCCGAAGTATCTTTGAGTTCTCTTTGAAAACAGAATGGCGTAATAGACAGGACCAAACAAGGAAACTCATTATGCCATTGCTGCCAAGAAAAGACTATCAGTTTGATGGACGGAGGGATTAAAGTTTTGATGACAGTGGATGAGAATTCCAGATCACTACACACACATCATGACCCAGGAGGCTTTCCTGTGAACAGTGATTTCAACCAGCCTTGAATAGAGTGTTACCCCAGGCCAGGAGTGAGCATGAAAGTATGGGCAAACATGTCTCCCAGAAACCAAAGATAGTAAAGGAAAGATGGCTTTTCTGAACCAAACACAGAAAGAATTTCAGTATTCAAAGAAGAGTTAAGAAAACTGAATGAGCTTAAAAGTGATTTGGCTGAGCTCCAAAAAGAAATGGAAGAGAATTATAAAACAAGAAAAGAAATGAAATTCACTTTCTTGTTTCAGAAGTGACAAAAAGTGGGAAAATATTCTGTGATATGAAGAGTCGGTGATATTGAAAACATTCAAGTAAACTGTAATATTTTTAAAAGATGATGAATATGGAAACAAACAAAGAAGATCACTATATGAAATTCTGGTGTTTCTGAAGATAGGACCAGAAAAGTTAGAACAGGAAGGAACAAAACAAAACAAAAATACAGAGAGACAGTAGAAGACTTCCCTGAAATTAAGGAAGACTTTAATCCACGGATTGAAATTGCTCGGGGCCAATATTCTACTAGAAGAGGTTGAAATAATGTCCTCATGGAAGAACTGGTATAGAACAGTTTTTATTTTTTATTTTATTTTATTTTTTTTGAGGAAGATTAGCCATGAGCTAACTGCTACCAGTCCTCCTCTTTTCACTGAGGAAGACTGGCCCTGAGCTAACTACTGCCAATCCTCCTCTTTTCACTGAGGAAGCCTGGCCCTGAGCTGACATCCATGCCCATCTTCCTCTACTTTATACACGGGACACCTACCACAGCATGGCGTGCCAAGCGGTGCCTTGTCCACACCCGGGATCAGAACCAGTGAACCATGGGCCGCCAAGAAGCGGAACGTGCGCACTTAACCGCTGTGCCACTGGGCTGGCCCTAGAACAGTTTCTGTAGAGACCGGCAAAGAAACATCAAACTGAGAGCCAACACTATGCTCAAATTGTGAAACATTAAAAGCATTTCCGTTATAGTCAACAGTAAGACAGAACAGGACATTAGCTCCACTGTTAGTTAACAGTGGTCAGAAACTGCTAGTCACTGTAGTTGAAAAGAGAAAGAAATGAAAACTGGAAAGCAAATGGCAAAATTAAGATTTTTTTTCCAGATGATATGATTGAATACAGTAAAATTGAAGAGAATTAATTGAAAATGTTATAGGGTGAATGGACACAAAAATAATAGCCAAAAATCAGTATGTTTCCCAGATGCTAACAATTAGCTAAACATTATGATGGAAATAAAAGATTAAAATATCCCACTTATAATAGTAAAAAAAAATTCTATAAATAAGCTTAACTATAAAAGTTCTGCCCAAAACATCAGACTTGGAAAAGTAAAAAGGTAGATGTGTGCCTATCTAGAACATGTAGTAAATATAGCAACTGTGCCTACATTGTTACTGTAAAATTTACAAGGGGGAAATAACCTATAAGACAAGCCAGAAAAATTCTGAAAAAAATAAAAGTAGAGAGAAAACACTAACATCACAAGATAATTAAATGCATTTTATTCTATGAAAATAATAGTGATAATAACGAATTTATGTTAATACATGAATAATCAGAAAAAACAAAATAGAGTCTGAAGATCCCCAAAACCCTATAATAAGTTGCCTATGGTAAAGGAGCATTTCCAATTTAGAGGAAAAGATATAATTTAATTAATTTGTTTCTGTTTTAGGGGCAATTGCTTTGCCATTTAAAGGAATAATGACAATTTAAAAAAGATGAGATCCCTTTGTCACTTTTTACAACAGAGCAAAGTCTAGGTATATTCAATACTTAATTTTTTTTTAAATATTAGAAGGAAAGATAGAATTTTTAAAGTCTTGAAGAAGGACACTTAAGACCACAGAATGCAGAAATCATACAGCAATGTATTTCATTACATTTTTAAGAAAGAAAATGCTGCTCAGGAAAAAATGTTAGTGAAGTTAAAATTCAAGTAGCAAAATAAGAAAAAATGCTTGCAATGCGTATAATTGACAAAGAACTAATTTTCTTAATGCATAAAGAATTCCTACATATTAAGAAAAAGGTCAAAAGCTGATTGAAAATCAGCAAAGGATCAAGAGAATGAAAAGATTAAAAAATGGGCCAAAAA